TCGGGGTCTCGAGCGGAATTTCGTGGATTCCGCGATGAAAACGTTCGCGCGATGAGAACGTTTATGTGTTCCCCAAAAATGTGTTCGTCGAGGAAAATTATAATCGAGAAGCTTGCTCGGCATTCTTCGAGGAAGTTTCATAACGAGAAAATGGCATTGGATCAACTTATTAACGTCCGCGTTTAGTTTCAATTGGACAGACGAAAACTTGCTTCATGCGACGGACAGATCGCGATTAATTGTTCGACGAACTTTAATGAACGTAACCATCGTCCTAATAAGATATCTGCTGCAAACGTTTCATCCTCGGCACAGAACACGTTACGCTCTCCCAAGGTAGTTGGAAGTTCTGCGATCGACCTAGCTATGCTCTCTGTTTCGTATAACTAGTTGTCGCCGATTAGAAATGCTTCGCTGAAACTTGCCACGACTGTATAAACATCTCGCGACATCGATACGAGTGTCAGTACAAATTTCGCTCGGCGTTCACGCGAAAAATAACATCGTACGCGAAATTATTCGTTTAAAGAACACAAAGAGAAAACGGGAAATTTATTCAAAGACGTGGCTCGTGAGTGCGGTAACGAGTGGAAGAAACTCGGCTAACAACGCCGCTGAACAGCTGACACAAAACAACCGGTTGTTGTACTTCAACCCAATTTCCAGCCAGCTCCTTGATGTAACTACACCCGTGTCGTCCACGTCAATTTACGGTTTCCTGTATACTCGCAAGACCTGCTGTTCCTGTTTGAGTGGCAAGACCACCCTAGAGGTCTCGAAACGATCGACAAATATAAACAAATATTTTTCTACATATAATTGAATCCTTGTCTACAATCTTTTAGCGTTTAAATTTTGCAAAATATAATAAAATGATAGAAATTTCGATTAATCTCTCAACGTTCTGCTCGTATCATTCCTGTTACTATCATCATCCGGAGATGCTCACGGTCATCGTACGAATTCTTGTTACGTACTTTACTTTCTTTTCTTAGATCACCGCCATTATCCCGATTGATGCTCGGCAATATCTCTCCCGGGGCCATTTCGAAGATTCCATCCCGTTTAGATCGCATGTACCGGCATACAGTGGGGCACACCTGCACGTTCACATACGTACACGCGCGTGTGGAGTTTCACTCGATACCGTAACCACCCGTTTCAACCCTCAGGAGGCAGGTACACCCGTTGTCGCTAGGCAGTGCGCCGGTATCTTCGTGTGTGGGTATCAAGCGTTACCCAATAAATCCACGGTTTAATTAAACTAAGTTTAAACGGACCCCCGTCGTATAAAGCAGTTCTACGTATTACGTTCTCGATCCACCGCTAAAACAATTATCGAAGTTACGGGAAACGAGAGGGTGTTGTTGCGTCGCGTCCCGTTCCGCGCCCTCGGTTTCTATTTCGAATATGTTTTCCTTTTTCCTACGCACTACGAGTTTCGGCGTGATTTTTCAATTTTCTGCCAGAATAACGCGACTTCGCAACTGTTGACTCGCCTCGACACGCTCGCGTTTGCGTTTTCGATCGATCTCCTCTGCAATCTGTTCGTTAGCATGATACACGGGAAAAATTCTCGCCTGTCCGCTCGAATCGGCGAACATCGGGCCGGAATAATTAAACGACGGTAGTACTCTTGACAATCGCATTTCAAATTCCTTGTACGGCACGGGCTCGTGTACACGAGATACGCGATTAAGCTTAAGCCATTCGAACTATTTCCACCGGTTTACATGCGATGGGAAGGACACGATTAAACAGATCACTTACACGAAAGCAGACTGGCGCAATCAGCCACGGTGTTGGCTCTGTGTAGCCGCAAACGAGATGCACAGCCGTGTATTTTTCTCTCAGGAGGAACAGTGATGTAGTGCCGCGCAACAGTTTTCCAGCAGAATTTTAAGAAGCTCATGCATCACCGTATCAAACCTACTGCATTATTCAGGCTAATGCATCCGCCTAATAGAAGACCAATGCATTCCTCTACACTGTTCCTGGCATTAACAACGCCTTTTACACACGGCACATCGATTTGCCAGCGGAGAATAAAACGATGCAGAGAACACAGCGTCGAGAACGTAGAGAGCGTTCGTGAATGGAAAGGATCTAGGTCGAATAAGTGTTTAGAAAAAATTTTAATCCTTTCGTAACGGCTGGAACGCCACAGCGAAAGGGTCAATGAAAACGGGATGCATTTAACGCGTGGAACTTGTTTAGCAAGGTGAGGAGAAGTGGCAAGTGTCAAAGAACTGAAGGGTAAAGAAATGCAAAGGGTTCAAAGCATGCAGCGGGAAAGCGTGAAGGGGGTTCGTATCATGCAAAGTGATCAACTTTAAATGCTAAACTGAACCGTGTATCATAAATTTTAAAGGCTTCGAGACATGCACCTTAAGTAGAAATATTACCCGCTACTAAAAGTCAAACAACCATTTTTCCTTCGCTATCGTTTTTGCCCTCGCGCATTGAAAAACCGTACCATTTCAATTTTTGATTCGATAAATCTTCTCTTCTAATAAAATCCGAAAATATTTATCGATGCGCGATTCATGAAATAATGAAAATCCTACGGATTTATTGATTTTTCGAAAACATGCACGATTCGAAGAGGAAAAAGCGCTTAGCATTCGACAATGGAACAACAGAATAATACCCTTAAATAATTGCAGGCATCTTTTCAAAGGCTAAAATTAAATCAGTCGACGCGAAGGTTTATTTACTGTCCGCTATTCAACATTTATCCTTTGATCTTTGTCAGTTGTCTGCCTTTGCCGAGATATATTCTCGTGGCCACACGTTCACTTGTATACGTGCACGCGAACTAAGTGTATTGGTAGAAAAACGAGGTGGCCTGGCTTTGTAACCACTTGGCCGAGTATGCTTGATCGGTTCATTTGCCGCTAGCGAGGGTGCAGTCACCCCTGACCACCCTTGGCAATCCCAGTCTAACCTGTACTCGCTTCTTCCGCTACTCGAGACTCTCCTAGCTAGCAATTAAAGACACTGCTTGTGCGGCTCGCTACAAACACGGACGCACAGCTATTGACACGTACGAACACACACGCGATATCGTGGCAAGTTCGAGAACGAAAAGGGACGGAGAAGAGATTTAGGAATTGTCTTTCTTGCTGGTAGACCGATGGACGCCCGGTGACGCGTTAAAGTAGACTCGATCTGGACACGCGATATCAAAGAGACGTTGGTGTTGGTAGGCTCTAGTATAAAAGCTCCGAGATCGTCAGCTTGCCTCGTAGGGCAAGGGAATTGAATTCACGACGACTTTTATTGGCCAAGTTTTATCCATCAAACGACCCAGGAGATCGATATACGCTTCTTTTCGCACACGTTGGATTCCACACGCTTTTGGTAATAAAAGATGAACGTTGGTATGTAATGCAATATGAAATGAATATTTGAAATGCCTTTGCCCCGCGTTTCGAAACGATGCAAAATGCGGTATTACTTTTGCTACAATTTCAACGCGGTGCTTTAATCCAAATAATATTTCATTTTATGTTTAATTCGCGGCTGGCAAAGCCGAGGCTTTGCTCACTCGTCGAGTCATTCAGAGACTAAATTTAATCCGTGTTTCGTTTTCATTTTCGTTTCCTCTATTTTATACAAATTTCTACAAATTTATTTTATTGGAAAATGAGCATTCAGAGTATTCTCTCGATGTCACGAGCACGTACTTATTTCCCGACATCTTTAAAGTAAAATATTCACCGTTGTAACGAACTAAATGAAATTATATAGAAGTAAAACAATATGAAATTATGCCAATGCACACCACACCAACGTACCAGGCTTTCGCCGATGTTTTATTCACAAAGTAAACGAATCGTCTGATGCATGCCGTAGGCAACCGGCTCTACAGCTGTTCTTTGGATTGTGGCTAATTTACAACATGATTAAATAATTCGCGCAAGCTCAGAATCGATATTTTGTGAACCATACATGGGGGGTTGTTTGCCGGAAAATGCAACAATATGCGGACACACGGTAATAAGTAATCGTTACACGATTTCCGTGCAACACCAGTCCGATGAAAACTAGCCATTATGCATACTAATACGGTTTGTACCTATGCTAATGTCCGTAGCTCCATAATTATGAGAATATTTCGGCTGAACGTTACGCGCGCAGCTTTTAACGTTCGCTCGAATATTTAATGAACTGTATTGTAACGGAAATCGTTTGTGCAAGCTCGTTAAAGGATCGTGACATCGGTCAAATCTTGCTTGACCCGCAGAATATTGCTGGTAATCGCGTTGATAAACGGCTAAACGTTTTCTCTCGTAGAAATCGTAGACAAGGAAAACGAATTACGACTATGAAAGCTTTAATCGTGGAATTAAATGGACTTTCTTTCGACGATTCCGCGTTGGTCCTTTGCAACAACTATATCGAAACTATGAAAAAGTTGTGTCCAATTAAGAACAAGCTTCGTTTGTTGCACCAGTGAACCGTTGAATTGTGCAGCGTAAGATAACAGAACGAATCGCGATAAGAACGACAGAAAAGTTTTTGTAACGGAAAGTTTGAAACGGTCAACGAGAAGTTAAGTTTTCGATTCTGATTAAATGCAAGTATTCGATACTCTTGCTATTAGCCGTGTTTCGATTAAAGTTCAACGGTAGATATTTTTGCAATTAATTAATTTTCCGATGTTACTCTGACTCGACGCTTTAGAAACTAATTATAATTCTGAACTGTGACAATATTTGAGTTTCGGACGATAAATTAGAAATTATGGTTTTGCTAAGCTTGCTAAATTAATGTCTTCGAATATTACGAAACATAGACAACGAAAATTATAGGAAAGCTGATGGAAACCCGTCATTCGTTAAGCCCGTAATTTTGCAGGATTAGTTGACACATGATTAATATCGCGATAACAACCGGAAAATAACGATCTCGCTAATTTAGGTACCTCGTTTGCGCAACGAAATTATACCTACTCATCAATACCACGGATTTTTTTCAAATGAAAGTTCACTCACCACTCTGTCTCCAGGATGCTTCACGAAACAGTTCAATTCCGCAGTTTGACCAACGATGGCGGTGATATTTCGAGGGGCAATGTCGTCGAATTCCGGTTTATTCAGAGGCTTCGTCAATTTACTTGCACCCACCACGCTCGCCAAGCTCGATCCACCTGAAAACAATCGAGAAAACCACATTAAAAGATTTGTGATAACAATTTTTCTCTTCAGAAGTTGCTCATCGACCAATATTTATTATATTCTTAAACGCAAAGTTTGTCGGTTAGGCAAAAACCATCGTGAGGGATGAAAATATTACAAGCTAGACATTCAGGTAAATCTATTCTTATTTAACAAAGCGTTTCAGCGACGTAGGCAACGAGCTTCTGTCAAAGTTAAAGTAAGTTGGCTGAATATGGAAACTCTTCGAGCTTCATGTTCAAACGAGGTTAGACCCTGCTTACGCTTTTGCGAGCAAACTTCCGTCTCTCCCGAGTGGACCCGGTTGTTACCGTATCACGAGTGCACGCAGACACGCAGCTAATTCTAATAAGCAGCTGATTAAGACTGAACTTCCGTCAACTGTAACGTGTAGTAACGTCGTTGTTGTATCGTTGCGGCACGCAATCACGGTTGACGTACAACACGAAATACCTCGTTGTTCGGTGCCAAGACCTTCCTCTTTGATCTAGCCTTAATGGAAATAGTTTACGAACTAATAATTTCGAGAATGCCTGGCTACCTTGTGGCGTGTTCCTCATTGTTTATCCTACCAATTTCCTCGATCTTCGAGTCGTACAATTCTATAGATTATCGAAACATATTCCCACAAAAATTTAGTACCAATTCTTTTTCAGAAATTTATTTAAAAAATCTTCGGAATTCGTGGTAAATTAGGTTATTAGCCTCGTTAAGTTTTTACTGTCACACATAGTTTTGTGCATACCGGAATTTTGAAAAAATGTGGAGATATTGGAAAAGTTTAGTACAGATTTATACGAATCACTCGATTCGCCATTATCCGGAATTTTGTCGATCGCGCAGATGAGGAAGTCGCTATTTAACATAATCCCGTGAGAATGGGTGGAAACGATGGAAAAGCGAGAGAGAAGCGTGTCGAGAGGGAGTCGAAAGTGGGCGGATTGGCGCGGAACGACGAGACAGAACCGTTCGATAAAATTTCCCATTGTATTCCGCTGGAAAATGGGATTTCGGCGGGGCAGAAATTGAAATTGTTACGAGGTACACGCGAAATTGTGGAACTCACCGGACGATATCGATACGCATTTCGATGGGAACGGGTCAAAGGGATTGGCAGCCGATAATGAAAGGGTCCACAGATTGTCGTGAAGTTTAAATTTAACGCATTCCAATTTTTCCGTGGTCACGATCGTTCGTTGCCCTTTCAAATGGCTCTGATGAAATAGGAAAGCTGTGGGTCGATCGACGAAAGCCTGTCAATTTTATACCTAGTGGATCCAAACGAATCTAAGTTTCTTCAAAATGGAGACGTTAGAAGAAAACGATGCAAACATCAGTTTTTACAGTTTAATTCGGTACCGGTGTTTATTTGAATTCGAGCTTACGCGCACTGCATCAATTTTAATACAGCGATACGACTGATATTTATCCTGATATATTTCCTTTTTGGCTGAATAACGCGCAGCATAAATCGTTATTAAACCACGCTAAAATCATAGTAAGAGATGAGACGGTGAAACAAATATTGACTATAATTTTAATCGCTTAAATAAATGTAACCACGATCTAAAACGCGTACGATAAATTTTCCGATATTTCATCCACGGCTTTCAGGTTACACAGACGTTTTCCGTGCACAAAGTGAAAGTAATCAGCTTCGGATCTCCGTCGTCCTGAAAAGTCCTCGATAGCTCACACCGCAAATGGGCAGTATCCTTTGGCGCGCTCTAGGTTTCCTCCCCTTCGACTTTTCCAGCATCGGAATACAGGAACACGGTTGAAAGGTTCAATTACGATTTCTTATCTCCACGATGCACTCCGCTCAAATTACACGCCGCGTGTAAATCAGGCCACCGATGAATTTAAGGGACCGCCTCGCGTGTCCAGGCGGAATACGTAACACTGACCGACGTTACACTGTAATTTAACTGTGCTTTTTTCCCCTCTTGTTTCATCTACGCTACGTTTCCCTCCTTTGATTACTCGAGCCGTTTTATCCGCTCGTCGTTTTTTCTGTTCTTTTCTGGAGGGGTTCTAAATTCACGGACAAGGCAAATTGGATAGGAACTGGTCGAAAGGTATCGCTGGCCGTGCTTTCGGCCAACTTCGAATCTAAGGGGCAGATCAAATAACTGAACGTACGTGCCGCGACTGGAAGGCACGAAATTTGGAGAATCACCAAGCGGCAGAGATTGCGGTGGTGTCGGACTCCGTCGGTAAAACGTTTGTTTCAAACGGCTCCTGTTTATCGCCGCCAACAATATCGAGCCACGAAACTTCGACTCTATGGAAAAACTGCTCAGATTTACCTGCGATAAGATCCATCTGTTCTTATACTCCACTTTTTCAGACAGACCTCAGTTTACCGTTTCATGACTTTCAAAGGAATTAAACAGCTTATTAAAATTAATTTCCGAGCGGTCTTCCATAGCATGCGAGTTACTTTTTCCATGTAATTATGATATTTATGTATATACGTATTAAATGCCAGTTATATCATTTATTTACAGAGCTTTCAGCGATTACTGCATATTTAAGCGAAATTATTTATTGACGAAACAGTGGTCGAGAAAATTGAAATTTTCATATTACATACATATGTTAACTGATCGTGGTTGTTTATTCGAATGCGTTCAGTTTATTTTGTGGCTCACATTCTCTGACAGAAATTCATTTTATAAACGCTGTAATATACATTTATTAGTTACACATTCTCCAAATGTTGTATGAAATACCAGTATTCATCGCTGCGAAATGTTTGGATTGAAATTTGAAACATACGTTTAAATGAATTTCGCTTTGTTTCGCGCAACGGACAATGAACCATTTTATGTTCAAAATGTTCGTGAAACTTTCATGCGATAACTTTTCCCAAGCTCAAATTGATAAGCCATACTGTTTTATGCCATTTTTATGAAATTACATCGGACCGTTCATATTAGCAAATCAATCAAAGCAGACCTATGAGTTCGATTTTCAACAAAATTTTTGTATAAAACCGACATAATGTGAACATTATTTTTCAGTACTTTTATGCAGTGAAATCGTGTCAGACCTCTTTTTTTGATTGCTCGAAAGATTGTTGGAACACATTCGTCGAAAATACACGTGTAAAATAATTATTCGCGTTATATTCAAACCTCTGGTGCTTCTTGTACGTACAATTATAATTACATTTTCAGTAGCGTTGTTTTTTACAAAATGGAGGTGTGAAGAAATGGTTACTAACGAGTTTCTGATCCCTTAGACAAATGTTGCAAAGAAAATTTTCTTTTTCACTCCCGAAATTGGCTATTCCCATTGTCTTTAAGTTGACTCGCACGCTTCCTTTCTCGTTTCAACGTCTCGTTTCACGGCGAATGCCTGCGAGCACGATTGAACGGACACGCCTACACAGAATACCCCATTGTTACCCACTTCTTGTTTCACGACAGACTTTTCCCGACGGTTGCTGTAGTTTCCATTCCTGCTCGTAGTTGGCTCGAAACTACGACGTCGATTCTTTCCTAGTGGATCGTATCGTCGATTTCGGTGTCGAATTCACTTCGAACACCGCCGAAGGGTCTGCTCCTTTCAAACATTTCGTTTCGTGGCGTTCGACCAACACGATCCACCTCGGTGTATGCTCGAACATAGCTATTTATACGATTGGTAACGTTACCTTTTTACCCTCTTTCCACGGGAAAGTATTTCAACAGTTACGTTTTACCGACGAATCTCGACTAACAACTCCTTGGAACCATTTTACTTTTTTGTGAAACGATCAGATAGCGCCATCAAACGAATAGGGTAGCAGAGTTGAAAATAGAAAGTAAGTGGAATTATTTACAAAATGAATTTCTGATCAATTGACACGTTAATATGTTGCAGATTCATAATAATTTAACCACGATATTGGTAATTTGGAGAAAATACTCCTACCCCCTTTTCTAATCACGCTCATTTTCACCGTAAACCGCGGTATTAAGGAAGGAAAATTCACTTTACCCTCTAAAGTGACGACGAACGAAAGGAAAACGAGAATAGGGGATTCTAATTACTCGAATAAAATATTCACCGACATCGCGTCGCGAGCTGCCACCGCCTGTGTTTTACGGTCGAGTGTGATTCTAATTAAAAGTATTTCGATTTGTCTCGCCTTCGTATAATTTTATGTACAAACACTGTGAACCCTCCAGAGTTTAAAAATTTATTTAGCCGAGGGATTATTTCAAAGTAAATCTCATCTGCAGGATTATTATAAAGCATTAATAGGAACGAAACTTTGCTTAATTATACAGGAAAGTTTACAATGGACTTCTAATGACTCCCGCTGTACTCTCGCAATTAATAAACTTAATAACTCACTACTCTTCGAATCTCTAACTTTCTGCCTTTTCCATCAAACTCGCCTTCCGTTGCAGCTTCTTCCCTTTTTCTTTACCTAAACTGCTCATTTTAATCGAAACACTGAGTTTACTTTAAAATATCTACGAAATATGTGTCGACTAAAATTATTCGAAGTTATATGAAAATTATATAACCATTATTAATCCAATTTATTTCAGTCGACAGTGTTTTAATAAATGACAATTATTCATTTCTTGCTAATCATTTATTAATCCGTTGGCCGTTTAAATAGATAAAGTAATAATGAACGTTTAATTTAATCGTTCCAATGAAAATGAAATACCTGCTACGATTATGGATATTAAATAGACCTTTTTGAACGAAAGGATCTCGCTAAAATGAAATAGGGTCTGAAATTAAATTTAAATTGTCGTACCCTTAGCGACTCGCCCAGAAATTAATCTCTCGAATAAAACAAAAACCAACAAGACGGAAATCTCGACAATTTCGTCCAGAAACACACGTTGGAAGCTCCGCCTCGTAGCGCAAAGTTGTATACGTCGCAAGAGGGGAAAATCGCGATAACGACGGAGCCGAGGTTTCCTCGTTACGGGTCTGAACCCTTATGTTTCCTACGGGGCCA